TCTTAATTAGAATGGGATTTTATCAGGTTTTCAGCAGTGCCTCGCTCGCCTTTAGCTCCATTGTTGTTGCTGATGGGAGGTTGTCAAGTCTTTCTTCCCACCGAGTGACTCTTTCACTGCTTATGCTCGGTGTTCCGATGGGTGGGACGCTCTTCAGGAAACTTTTCCTGGATTTAAGGCGGCTTTTGGCTGGCACATGGCCAAAGAGAAGATGTCTTTGGTCAGTAGACTGTTGTTGGCGCTCTTTCTTGCTTGGTGCATTTTGTCGTATCTCTGGTGGGGCTATGCCTGCCAGGATGTACAGACGGTCTGTAGGTGTTGATTTCAGGCAGCCTGTGATAATGTGGCAGCTAGCATTGAGGGCGGGATCCAGCTTCTTGGCATGGGCAGCTCGTTCCCATACTGGGCAGGCATACTCGGCAGCTGAGTGACCACACTAGCAGAGGGCTAGTGTGGTTGACTTCAGAGTCTGTGGGTTTGCACCCCAGGTCGTGCCGGTGAGCTTGCGGATGATGTTATTCCTCGCACTCACTTTGCACTTAGTCTTCTCAGTGTGGGTCTTAAAAGAGAGGCATCTGTCCAGGGTTACCCCTAGGTAGACTGGGTGCTCACAGTGTTCAAGGGAGGATCCTGACCAGCTGACCTTCAGTTGGCGCTTGGCTTCACGGTTTCTCAGGTGGAAGGCACACACCTGTGTCTTAGATGGGTTTGCACGTAGGTGGTTCTCTTCATAGTAAGGTGTTAGCTCTGCCAGAGCGTTAGAGAGTCTGTCTTCCACAGTTTTGAAATCAGTGGCTTGTGCACCTATGCCAAGATCGTCTGCATAGATGAAGCGGCGGGTGTCTACACTTTTTGGTTGGTCGTTGGTGTAGATGTTAAAGAGAAGTGGTGCAAGCACACTTCCCTGTGGGAGGCCATTCCTGAGTCTTCACCACCTGCTTTTCTTTCCTCCTAGCTCAACGAAGAAGTGCCTATTTTCAAGCATGCTTTCAATCAGCTCTGTCAGGCGGGTGTCTCTTGTGGTCTCCAGGATCTTACTGAGGAGACGTCTATGGTCTATGGTTGTATCATAGGCAGCTGAGAGGTCGACAAACACTGCACCAGTTACCATCCCTTCCTCATATCCGTCTTCGATGTACTGGGTGAGGTTGAGTACTTGGCTAGTTGTCGACTTGCCAGGGCGGAAACCTGCTTGTTCAGGGGTGAGGTGTTCGTCAACAAAGGCACCAATTCTGTTGAGGATCAGACGTTCAAAGAGTTTGTAGGTGTGGCTCAAAAGTGAGATTGGTCTGAAGTTCTTGGGAGCGGATGGTTCTTTCCCAGGGTTCAGCAGTGCTATAATGTGGGCTTTCTTCCAGATGTTAGGAAGCTTGTGTGTTGTTAAGCACTCATTGTAGAGCTGTAGGAGCCACGTCTTTGCCTTGTGACCGAAGTGCTTGATCTGTTCCGTTGCGATAGTATCCAGTCCAATTGCCTTTCCTGGTTTGAGGATAGAGATTCCCCCTTCCAGCTCTTCCATAGTGAGCTGTCTTGTAAAAGCAGGGTCCTCGATGTATTTCTTGCGGTTCAGCTTGGTCTTTTTCCCTCTCTTTCTACTCTTTCCATTTTCGAGCAATTGGTTGGCAACTTGGTTGGCCATGACTTTTGGGTGCTGAGGAGCTGCTTTAGGGTCACCTCGTAGCTTGTGAATAAGTGCCCATGCTTTCTTGCTGTTTTTTGACATGTCTGTGGACTCTATAAGAGCATTCCAGGTCTTGCTTCGCTCTTGGGCAATGCTTTCCATCACTTTCTCGCCTTGGGTAGTTGTTTCATCTGAGAAGGGATCTGCTTCAAACATGCTGACGTAGTTGTCATAGAGTCCTGCACAGTCCTTTGAAAGTCCCGGTATATATTCAACTCTACATCCTCGTGGGATATGTTTCCGAGCAGTTTTCAGCACCAGGTTAGCAAATTGGTCGTAGTTCTTGCTAACTGGTATTATGTTTGTGATCTTTTCTTCCAGCTCGTTGGTGAAACCTTTCCAGACTGCTTTCTTGTAATTGAAGCGCCTTTTAAAGGGCACGATGGTTGGGACTACAGCCGCATTGATTAGGATCCCAATGGGGCGGTGTTGGCTTGATGGAATAAGGTCCAGCACCGTCTTTTTACACAGTCCAGCGATGTTACTTGTGACTATGGTGAGATCTGGGTTGTAGCCACGTTTCCAGCGAGCACTGAAAAACGAGTGTGGTAGTTTGGGGTCATGGATCAGACTTAGTTGGTTAGTATCCATCCAGTCCTCTACTGCTTCTCCATCCTTGTTCATTTCAGTGTAGCCCCACTGGGTACTGTGGCTGTTGAAGTCACCAATAAGGATCTGTGGTTTGCCGTGTATTTTGGGGATTGGCTGGGAAAATACAAAGTCTACAGGTGGTGGTTTGTAGACAGATGTTACTACAACACTGCTTAGCTCAACAGATAGGACTTCGATATTATGGCCATCTGATTATCTGTATCTTCTATAGCTGAGCCTGTTTTTACAAAAATAGCACTGCTGCACTGCCGGTGAGGTCACTCAATAGCCAGGAACATTCCTGGTATGGTGGGGCGATTGTTTTCACTCCCTCTGTGCGTCTCTTGCAAACAGAGGACGTCACAGTGTTGCTTGCTGCATAGGTCGGCTAAGATGGTTTGTTTTGCAGAGGAGAACCCTTCAATGTTCACAGATATGACTGTCAGTACCGGTCTTGAGGGGGTCCCTCGTTTACGGCATCGTCCTTTGTGTCTATCTCCAGGCATGGTGTTTTCTCTTGATGTTCTGTGGCTTACTTACAGCTTTCAGCGTAGCTTGTAGCGTAGCTTGTGCAGACTAGCTTGCGGCTAGCGTAGCTTGTGGCTTGTAGCGTGGCTTGTAGCGTAGCTTGTGGCTGTTTTGTAGCTTGTAACTGTTGATGATAGGATTAGCAGTATCTAGTCGATCTAGTTGATCTTGTCGATCTTGTTGATCTCGTCAATACTCCCAGGGCCGCGACGTGGACTCTCCTTTCATGGCCCCTCCCCCACTAATTGTTCACTATTGGCAGCAGACTATAGGCTTCAGAGTAAGCATTTTTTGTTTTTTAATTGTTTTTATTTGTTTTATTTTATACCAGCTGTCATGTGTCATTAATATATAGGCTACACAAGTTGTAATATCAGAATAGGATATCGATATCAGAGTAGCACATATTAACAAAGGTATCCCAACTGTAGCTGTGTACATGACAGGATGTATGATTATTACCTAGAAGAGGTCTGTTTTAGGCATATGATAGCTATGTGATTAACATGATGATTCAGCCTCTAGATAGACATGTGACAAGCATGATCATGTCTGACGTGCATCTTAGCTAATCTGAACTAAACATTGTATACTGCTTTGAACCGGTATTCCTCCGTCTTCTGACTGTGTAACTCCCTCTCTTGTATATAAAGGGCTGTCAGTCGATTACAATATTTAATCGCATGATTGTCCATAGTTAATCGTGATTAATCGCAAAGTAATCGCAAATTGTTTGTCTGTTCTAAATGTACCTTAGAGGGATATTTTTCAAGTTGTAATACTCTTATCAACATATGAGTGGACAAATATGCTTTATGCAAATGTTTGTTTATTATCATTTGAACAATGACAAATATTCTCATGAATATTAAATGCAACAACCTCTGAACATTAAAAATATTCGCCTCAATTCAACCTGGAACCTCTCTCATACAATAATACAATACAAAGTGTGTGTGTGTGTGTGTGTGTGTGTGTGTGTGTGTGTGTGTGTGTGTGTGTGTGTGTGTGCACGTGTGTGTGTGTGTGTGTGTGTGCACGTGTGTGTTTGCACGTGTGTGTGTGTGTGTGTGTGTGTGTGTGCACGTGTGTGTGTGTGTGTTTGCACGTGTGTGTGTGTGTGTGTGCACGTGTGTGTTTGCACGTGTGTGTGTGTGTGTGTTTGCACGTGTGTGTGTGTGTGTGTGTGTGTGTGTGCACGTGTGTGTTTGCACGTGTATGTGTGTGTGTTTGCACGTGTGTGTGTGTGTGTGTGTGTGTGTGTGTGTGTGTGTGTGTGTGTGTTGGATCGTTGGAGCTATGTGCAACTCAAGGCATATGCTCGAACGGGAGCTGCCTGGACGCTGCAATCATGTTGCGCACTATCCGTGCTGAGTGTGCTGACTTTTCGTACAATGCCCCACTGTCTGGCTACCTGCATAAAGTCAAGTGCTCGGCGCAGTTGTTGGCGAAATGTCGCTCCTCTGTTTTCATTGAAACAGCTCCTTATATCCGTTAGCGCAGCTAGCTAGCACCAGATGCTAACAACAACAATACACGTAAGGTGTGCGCGTTCTCTCACTCTCGCTCGCTCGCACCACATTATACACACACCCTCCCGGTCCTCCCGATGGCCAGTCGGTGCCTGCCGGTGAGCGTGGAAGTGTGGTCTGCGAGCGGCAGGAGCGGGGCTGACAGCATCAGCTTGTAGATGGTATTTTAAACTCCATGCGCAGAGGACAAAAAAAACACATGCGTTAAAATAATTAGTGGCGTTAATTTTTTTTGCGTTAACGCGTTATTAACAGCCCTAATATATGTATATCAGCATGTGAAGGACACTGTTTTCAGGAACTAGTTGTACCAAATGCTCTGTATGTGATGACTACTTCCATTCTTGAGAGGATATATCCATGTATCCTGATTTGAAACTTAAGCCGGTGACGAGTGATATTTCTCTAACACTTACCTTGGCATGTGCGTTTATTTAACAAACACTTTCAAAATGTAAAATGCTGTGACTTTCGAATCACTTTCCCTTTTGTGTTTTTTATCAACTCACAGTCACAGTATTTTGTGCACAATTACGGGAAATGCAATAAAAAATGTCCAATGGAGGAACTCCAGACCACTTGGAAAACAAGTTTTACAAACCACTCTGCAGCTCAACCTACATCCCTGCTCACAGAAGCAGTTTTCACTCATCTCTTCAGAGTGTTACCTTGGCGCGCAGCAGCCTGCAGTGCAGCTCACTGGACCTCTGCTCGTACCTCAGCTCAAACTCCAGTGTTCCCAGAGCGGCTGAGGAGGAAAAAACAAAGGAAGGACAGAACTCATTAAAGGAAAAAAACATTGCATCAGAAGAAAGATATGAAAAATCAGTCGGAATCAAATCAAAGCATGAACAGAGAAATCCAATTTAATGGAGCAGCTGCTGCCACATGGATCTGAACACAACACTTCACATGTCAACACGGAAAATCCTCTTAGAAGAAACACATTCGTCAGGGCGCCTTACATACATGCACACAAACTGTGTGTAAATGTATAAGCTCATACATCAAACACAACCTGGTGTTCTTCCAGTGCGTTATATAAGAGCGCACATACAGGATGTGATTCACAGGGATTCAAACGTTTATTTTAGGCATCAGCTCTCATAAAACCAACAAACCTCTGCTTACTCTACACATTGTATTCTTATGCTAAACTATAATCTTCTTCACACTGCGGTGTGTTTGTCAACCTGGAGGCTCGCCCACTTCCTGTTCAGATTCTGTTTATCAGAGGCCCTTTCTCATTTCACTAATTTCCCCTCCTCGACTCCTCGGTCCTCCGGTAGTGACCCGGAAATGGATTTCAGCGCGCCATGTTGAAGGACATCTAATTTCTCTAAATGCACTTCGAGGACCGAGGATCGAGCGTCGAGGAGGCTCTCTGGAGGGGCTCTAACCGAGGAGACACTGATGGGTCCTCCGCGCCAGTCCGTGGATCCTCCGCGGATGTATTTCCGGCAACAGTGATGTTTAAAAGAGTCGTGACGCACGGCCGGACTTATCTCAGCCAATGACAGCTCTGCATGCATCCCCTGGATATTATTTTAGAAACTGCTTTCATCGCGTAGCGATGTTTCCAGAGAGAACAGCTGTGAGGTCTGTGCAGAAAGCAGAGCAGTGTGTATAATATATATCACTCAGTATAGGCCTACATTACTCTCTTTATTTGTATGCTTTAGTTTAGTAGATATCTACAAACAAAGAGTCGATATTTGTCTAAAACCATTCAGTGCTTCACATAATAAAATACTAAGACACGAGGATAGGAGTCGATGAGGGGGAGTCGAGGAGGGGAATTAGAGAAATGAGAAAGGGCCAGAAGCATCTGAAGGGACTGTTTCACTTCTGGTTGGAGAGTCCTTCAAGTGACCACAGAGAGACGCAACACAAATTCAGGCCAAATGACCACAAAGGGCTGTGAAACTCTGTAAAATGTCATTTATGTTAACATATTTTTTCTTCTACGGGAAAGTATTCTTGCCAAGAAGACAGTGTGGAAAAAATACGTGAAAAAAAGGCACAAGAGACGCCAATGAACTACAAAAAGAAAATAAAAATACATAAAACAACCAAAGAAACACACAAAAAGAGATGCAAACATGCACAAAGAAAGGCAAAACCACCAGTATCGGAAACATCAGGAACGCTATGAAATACTTTACTACTGAGTGACTGAGACAAAGACAACGACAAAGACAAAAGACATTTGTAGTCATTTGTGTGTCTCCATCTGAAAAGAAACGATGGATTAACTTGAGTAGCTTTTTCTTAATTACACTTGTGAGGTCCTTTTCTTACGTTTTTGTTGCATAGGATAAGTGACTACAAATACATGTCCATCAATAACACATACCAAAGAGACACACAGGAAACACCACAAAGACAAAAAACAACTACAAAGTGACACAACAATCAGAGGGCACATTTACAGAAATCAGCAGCAAAGAAAACACAAACAAAATGGCCACACAACAGTCAACAGACACAAAACTACTCAAAAGAGCTGCAGCATTATCTGGGGCATACTTACTGAAAACACTAACTAATATCATTACTAAATGCATCCACTTAATCATCAGTTAAAGTTGAATTGTTTATGTACTTGTTATCCCTCATTATAAAACGTCAAATCAAGCAATCTGATTGGTTCTTAGCCGTGATATACTGAGCGTATACCACGGGTAGAATTGTAAGTTACTTTTCACAACAAGTCAGTATCCCTCCGCGTCTGAGAAAAACAGTATACCGTTGGGCTGAAAAGCAAACTGCCTGCAGTTTGCCTGTCGTGAGCTATTGCTTAAATATAAAGCGTTATACCACTATCACATTACATCTCCACGTCACTTGTGATGCTGCTGTGACTCACCAGATCAGACTGTTTGTTGAATTAAAGATCAAGTGGGACGCTGGATTTATACAGCATGCATATTTGATGTCCCTGCTGTTGATCTTAATTGACATGTTGTTCTTTCGGAGACAGTTTGATTGTGTCTATGCTTGTATTAGGGTGTTTTATTGTATTACTTTATATCTAATCAAAGGCAAAGAGAAAATTACAAAAAACTAAATGTATGTATTGACAATAGATGTCAAATATCCTCCCCCTCACTGCAGACAGTATTCACGTACTACTATTAGACGTGTAGTGTAAGTGATCATGCTAATGATAGTGCTTTGCAGATAAGAATGCATTTCAGACGTCGATTTTCATCTAACAGCAGTAATAAGAGATAAAGCTGCTTCCCTCTGCTGACTCCACTGCAGTCCTCTACATAAAATGGGATACAAAAAGCTGTGAGTGCACTTTCCACTGAATGCTTATGTTCCTAATTCCTCCCACCTACACTAACAGCCTGGATCTGCTGTAAAAACATCATGCACCAACAAAAACGCAGCGCTGCACCACAGAGTGATCACATCTGAGCCTGCAGAGGAAATCTAAAGGAATCATATCTGCACCAAGAACTCAAACTAATAAAAAAAGAAATCTTTTTTTCTTTGCCAGTGTATTTGATTTAATCAACTAGTTCCAGTAATATGACTGACTGTCAAATTCTGATGAACATTATTATAAAAACAACAACAAGCTGCAAAACAAAAGCAATACGACACAAAGAGACAGAACGATGCAAAACAGCAGCAAGGATGTGACTACAAAGAGGAACAAAACCACAAAGTAGACTAAAAATGACCTCAGAGACACACAATGACTACAAAGTGACACAAAACGACTAATAAAAGACATAAAACGACCAGGAAAAGATGCCAAAAACCCCCACAAAAAAACACAAAGAGACGGAAAACAACCAAGAGGCAATCCCAACAGAGCCGCCAAACACACGCATTTATTTGGGAGTCTTTCTCCTACAGTGTAAAACTCAAAATCGAGTATATTTGTCGAATTTCTAGTCAGAATGTCTCTTTACACTTATATAATGAATAAGAACTAACAATGCAGTGAGATATAGGGTCTTGTTTTAACAAAGCATCTCATATACTTTAAAGTCAAAGACTCTTGTAAAACCTTTTTTTAGTTGTATCTCAGATGAAACAAAGTTTTTAAGCTGCTGTGGTATCTGTAAAAGACAGATCACCTTGTTTCAAGAAATTCATCTTACACATTTAAATTGGAAAATCACCAACTAACATCAGGAAAAAAAAAAATGTTTTAAGCATTTCTGGCTTATTTGGTAACAATATTTTCTGATTCTGGCAAAAATATAGGTCAAAAAAAGTTTTACCAGCTAATTACAAGATCTTATTTATCTAAATATCCTATCTAATTTCAAGAAAGCTGGCCAAGAAAATGTCCTCTTCTTCTATTCTCTTTTTTAACTTATTACAAGCATAAACACCATTAGTTACATGATACATGTCAAACACTGACACTGATCAATTGTGTGGATCAGTGTCTGCAGAACTAATCTGATAATGAATGCCGTGCTGTGAATAAAGAAATAAATCCATTATTTATTTTATTAGTGGATCTCAATCACATATCTGGACTCCAGATATGTGATTGAGATTCTGGAGCAGCTTGAAAAAGAGAGAAAGAAGGAGTCATTTGCTCCCTGCTGGACTTCATTCATTCTCAAAGACACTGCTGTAACTCCAGAGTCTCTGCAGCAGGCATCATTGTATCTGTTGCCTCGTCTTACTGTGACCCCCCCCCAGGTGTGGAGGTATTCCCACTGAAACACATGTGTGCTTGTGTGCATTATTAACGTTATTTGGACTTAAAGGCATGTGTTATTCATGAGTTGTTTCCCTGAGCTGAACTCTGGGGTTGTTTGCTGGTCAGATAAATTGGACTCTTGCTTTTCTTTATCGATCCCACTGCAGCATCGTTACATCCTCTGAGATTAAAAACCAACCGGCCAATAGAACCTCCACATGGTGATTGGCGTAATGGTGGAGTAATTGGCTGTTTTTTTAAATGCATCTCACGCTTTGCTTTTAAGTTCTTATTCAAAGAACAGCATATCCCTTTTTCGTGGGAGACAAACATAGAAGCCAACCAAACTCTGTACAATTGTTAGAACTATTTAAAGAGAAAATGTAATATTCAAAATGTTATATATTCAATTTATGTTTTAAATTTAAAAAAATGGTGTTGAAATGGCTTTTAATTTCAATATATTTTGTAAGTTTAGTTAGAGCTGCCACAATAGCAGACAAAATAACAATATCATTTAATCACCTCCACCTTTGCAGGGTTAATAGCCGTGACAACAAGCTAACATCTAACATCTAAATGTTTAGCATTATACAGGCCGCTTCCGCATTGCATCATTTTGTGATGGTACTTCTGTTTTAGAGCTGAAGTGTTATTTCTTTGGTGATAAACTTTAATAACTTACTTTTGGTACTTTAAGTACATTTTGATGCCAATACTTTTGTACTTTTTACTTGAGTAACATTTTGAATTACTTTGAAACATTTTACTTCTAACAGAGTATTCTTACACTCTGGTACTTCTCCTTTTACTCAAGTACAAGATCTGAATACTTCTCCCACGTCTGCGTCTCACAAATGACTAATTGAAACGTCTAAACGTCATCCAGACATTTAGCTGCCTTAAACTTAGCAGTGATTAAGTGACCGCGCTGTAGTTTGTTTATTGTCTAAATCCCAAATTGGTGTAAATGTGGCGATTATCCTGCTCAACAAAATGTGTAAGTATCATAAACATGTGTCCACCAGTTTATTGTCTGGGGATATCCCTGTGATTATTGTCTATGGAGCCATTGCGATGCTTACTTCCGGTCGACCTACAAAAACATGTCAACACTGCACCACTCTATAGGGCTGTCACAATTAATTAATTAACGTTTTTTTTTTGTGAAAAATGTTTTTATATCTCATTACTTCTACTTCTGCAGGAGTTCAACAGCACTTACTGGAGAATAAACACGTCATGTTATCTTTAGCCTGATTTTGGGCGGTCCTGCATTGCATTAATGAATGTTGGTTCTAATGTTTTAGCACTGTGTAGTGTAGCTGTAAATGTTCACAAAATATGAATAATTGCTTAGAATGCTGCTAGTGCTAAACCAAAAGATTTAACCCAGTTGCATTCATGTGAAAAGAGCCTAACCCTAAAACCCTGAAATGAGTCAGCATTTTAGCGCTAGCTGTTCTTTTGTCTCGAAGTGAATTCGTTTTTTTGATAGATTTTTGGTTATTACCATAAAATAAGGTATGTGGTTAACACAGGCTTAAGAGAGATTTTAAAGTGTTGCTTTACAACATTCCTGTAAGTCTAGTATGAAGACATGCTGAGTCATGCATAAGATGCGAAGTGTGTTTAGATGCGGAGCCACACACACACACACACACACACACACACACACACACACACACACACACACACACACACACACACACACACACACACACACACACACACACACACACACACACACACACACAGTCGAGACGAAAGTCAATATATAATATCTGTGAAAAACGGACTAAAAAATAATTATGTGTTTTCATTTAGAGTATTAGTATTATTATTATAGTATTGTTCAATACCAGGAGAGGGTATTTGTTTATTTTTGATAGCGTGGGCTACTATATAAGCGAGCTGTAGAAAATATATGAATGCCGCTTCCGGCAACACGGCTACAAAAGGGGTGTAGTTTGTGATGGCTGGTCTCTTGTTCTCAAAGCCACGGATGGAGAACCAGGCGACAGTGTGTGTGAGGCTCCGGAGACGCCGTTGGTATATTTATTGTGTTTATGTACTTGATCTGTTGCCGCACTTTGCGAGAGTGCTGTTGCGCAATCAACTGTTTTTTTTACGCAGCGCGGTCTGCCTGTGCCCCGTTTGTTTTCTGTGCAATTTAGACAGCACAGGTGTTCAGATGAGGTTTTCTCTGGTGCTTGTTTCCAAGTGGAGATAAACACTCTAATTCATTTAAAGTTAATGATGGGGTTTAAAGGAACAATTTATTCATTTTAATTAAAACATAGTTTGTGGTGCTATTATTGTTATTATTGAGAATGCAGTGAGACCTGCAAAATGTTTGTAATTTGTGTAGCATGTGAGCTAACTTTTGTTTGTCCTTTGTGTTTTGAAGGTTTTCAACCTGATCAATTCTTGGAGCTGTCTTGATAAATAAAGACAAACAATTAATTTTGGTTGTCCAAAGCGTCCCTCTAGCCTATCAAGTCAGGCTAAATCACTGGTACAGGCCAAAAACCTGAAGAACTTGACACACACACACACACACACACACACACACAGACTCACTGCAGTCGTCGCTGTCGTCGCTGTTTATCTCCACCGACGTGTCCACGCTGCTGGTCAGCGACAGAGAGCAGCCCCCCCCAGGCCGGCCATGGGCCAGCAGGGGGGATAGCAGGTGGGTCCCGCCCATCCCCGAGGCCACAGAGCCAGGGCTGAGGGTCAGGGGGGAGGTGGGGGGGTTCTGGGACAGGGGGCCGGGGGAGGTGGGGGACAGGCGGGGAAAGTAGGCGGAGATCTGACGGATGGGTCTGATGGGGCCGGGGCAAACGTCGATGGCCATGTGTTCCTGGATGGAGATGCTGAGCTTCTTTCCTCTCCGCAACGTCATAGAGTCTAAAGGTAAACAAACACAAGTTTACCCAATGTGTCACCACCAGGTCAATTTAGTGGCTTTCTATCATCTGACATGAACTTCATCAGCTGGTAAGACAATATAAAGAGAGGTATTGCTTAGATGAGTAAAGTTTAATGATGTGTTCCCGCCAGTTGCAAAACTAATTTTCCCTTTGTATCACTTCACTCACTCTAGTTGTGCCGGAGAAAATATGTAGATACCAACAATGTTTCATCAACCGTGGCCAAATATCCTACTTCTACTGGAAACTGAACACATTTGTTTAATCTCTAGCAAGTCAGCTGAATCAATCTTGTTTTCCAGAGCGGTATGAACCCCAAATAACAGATTTTGCTTTGTTTTTTATTACATGTGATGAAGACATTGTCACTATTTGCTTATGGCACATGGTGAAATGCACACACTGAGTACAATACTTTCAAAAACACATTAATGCATGTAGTAATTGTGGTGAGTGCAACCACTACAATTGTGTGAAATAATCACTCAAATTCATTTTAAAGCTAGCTTATATTTGAACCATTCTTAACATGAAAATGGTTTCCAAAGTACCAGAGTAACCTAATATTCCTCTCCTAAACAGATTTAGGGAGGCGTGTGGCGCAGTGGACTAGTGCGTTGGACTAGTGCAGGGGTCGGCAACCCGCGGCTCTCGAGCCGCATGTGGCCCTCTGCTCTGGCTCCCTTGAGTTTAGACAAAAATAAGAAGGAAATAAATTAAAAGTATTTGTAGGACTATTTGTTTTCTTGCATGGTTGAAAATGTTTCGTATTTTGAGGTGATACTGTGACACATAAATAAAAAACAACGGTTTTAATTAGGTCAGCTAAAATATGCGTCACATCCTGCTACGGTCCCGCGCTAGCGCCTTTTCTTGCAGGCGAATAACCTGACCCCCGGCTCGATGAGCAAACTATGGATAAATCCAAGAAAAGTACCGGAGGAACACAGGATTGAATTCTGCGTGGACAGAGTTATCTGCTTTCACAGCAAACGATGCTGGTTTACCGGTATGTTTGATATGTAGAGAGAAGTTGTTAAAGGTACTGCAGCCTTTACGTATCGAGGAACAACACGGGAGAGGAAGACAGCTGACGATCTTCAGTCATAATTTAATGGGGTATGTCATTCATTTCAGAAAACACTTTTTGTTATATTCCATGGAATGCTCTTAACGTCCCAATAGCAATGAATATATTAAATGCTTTGACAATAAATACATAAAAAAAATTATCTCTGGAAGCCGTAGCACTGTAAAAAGCACGACCAATCATTTTAGCCGGCCCGGGCTGAAGTCCAATAGTCCATTTAGCTTAGGAACCTTCCTAACGGAGTGAAATGACCCGGAAGTACGTCACTGGCAGCCATGATAAGTGCCGTTCCAATTCTCCAAATGAAAGGAAAGGAGGTTTCAAACTTCCTTTATAACCTCCTTTAGCTTAGGAACCACTGGACCTCCCTAACCGAAAGGAGAGGAGAAAATGCTGCCCCACAATGCATTGCAGCCGCAGCATTTGACGTCACACAACAGTCGGCCATTCACGGACACAAACGATAATGGGAGAAATTATATCATGAAAGTTAGGGTGCTTATTAAGCTTTTTAAAACGTATGTGGTAAGTTGCCAAAGTGCTTTGTTTTGAACGTTCATCAGTATTATAATCAAAAAGAGAAATATGAACGTTAGTTTTTACTGAAATGATCAAATAAAGTCAACATTTCACTGAGCTGTGTGGAGTTTGTTCAACTTTTAAAAGATGTTTGAATGGTGATATACACAGTGATAGATGGTAAGGACTAACGTTTATAATAAATACATTTGTATTGATTTTAAGATCTTTTAATAGTTCATACAATCATACGTATTGGGATCATTTGTATTAATGTGGACCGGAGGGAGAGGGTGACGAGCATAAGTTTCACTTTCCTTTTTTATTTCAATTCCAACTTTGGTCATGAAGAATATGTTTCTCTGTTGTCCACGTTCATAAAGCATAAAGCAACAGCATCAGAGCACGGAGCAGAGTCTCTAGATGAGTTTACAGTAGTCCCTCGTTCTTAGTAAACATCCATGTTGTAGTCCGCTATAGAAAACTGTAGTTTCCATAGTTTCCCCACAGCAGCAGACGCACATTCATGACGTCCGCTGGCGCATCATAAACACGTCGGATAGTGAAAGTGCATTCGGATTCTCTAAGCACTGCAGTCTCTTCTCCTAAATCATTTTGAATTCTCCTATCCACTATCCCTTAACCCCGTGACGTTTCACTTAGAGGTCAAGGAATAGGAGATAGGGTTAGAATTTAGGAGCTGATTTTTGGATTATCGGAACGCAACCCCGGTGTAGGTGCCATATCTGCACGGCCTACCCATGGATGTATAATAAGAACTGGATACAGCATGAGAGGCGGGGCCTCATTCATTCCTATGAGAGTTGCTCATTGGCGCATGATGATAAAATGGCCCAACTTTTGAGAGAGTGAAACGTCACAGATTACCCAGCATGCCTGAGAAGTACCCGTATGTGCGCTCAAAGAGCATGCGCAACTTTAACCACGTACCCCAAAAGGCTCGTTCACATCAAGCACGTCAATTTGCGTACACGTAACAGCACTGCGCGTTCTGGATTGTTATGATGGAGTTGATATTAACGAATAACGAGGCGGCCGCGGCAGCTAGCAGCTAGCGGCTACTGTAGCTAGTGTAACGTCCGAGCCATTAGTAATTATGCTAATGTACATCAATCGTTATGTACTTTTATATTACGCTGATGTAACAGGATCTAGTGAAGGTTTTGTTCAGCATTGCCAGCTTCACTGTTGAGCTTTATGTTGTGCCCAGCATTCTCCTGTGCTCTGAAATCAAAATGTGGATAAGCATAAAACAACACTAAAATAAACACTACAATACAACTTGTTATTTGACACACACAAGGTTGTTCATTTGTGTATATAAATATATAACACAGGCTGTATACTTATATACATATACAAATGTACAAGTATAATTAATACAACTGTTAATTTGATTAGAGCTTTGACACATATATCTTTATTTATATATGTATAAGTATGACGACTTCCTCGGGCGATATCATATGGTATAGCTAATTAATCTGGGTCAAAACGTGTTGTGCCCACATGCAAAGGTTGTAAACTCTGGCTTATCCCTGCGTGGTTCAACTCCTTTAATGGTATATTGCAAGTGCAATAAGAAGCTACAGGGACGTTAATCTACGTCGGTAATATTAACTTTATTTAAGACAAGATTTACATCATACAGCCCATGTAGTATAATATTTTACAAATGATGAATTACAGCAAACATGTGCAATATATCCATTCTTACAGCTCCGTGGGATGGCAGTAAGGCGATATGGATTCGTTCTTATTGTGCATCCATGGGTAAACGTACAACTCATGTAGTACTGAACACGTCACATCACATGAACGTGCCGGGCGGCGCGGTCCCGTGGGTTAGATGCACGTTCATACTTGCAGAGGGAAATAACTCTCAGAATAACGTTATTAGCACATTTTTACAACTTGAGGAACGAATGTTTTTAATAAGGGCAAAACAAGCATTCATACTGGGTAGTTTATTTAGTTTAAAAAAAAGTATCCAACGATTTACAGACGTCTCTTTCCCCATGTAAGTCAATGGGAAAAAGTGTTTCCGGGCCTGGTAAACCAAACGGAAGTGTAGTACCGCCGTTTGGCCAGCACGAATATCTTCATCTGAGTCCGGCACACTTCCTGGGGGCTTGGGCCATGGATGTATAATAAGAACTGGATACAGCGTGGGAGGCGGGGCCTCATTCATTCCTATGAGAGTTGCTCAATGGCGCATGATGACAAAATGGCCCAACTTTTGAAAGAGCGAAACGTCACAGATTACCCGGCATGCCCGTATGTGCACTCATAGAGCATGCGCAACTTTAACCACGCCGCCCAAAAGGCTCGTTCACATTAAGCACGTGAATTTGCGTACACGTAACAGCACCGCGCGTTCATGACAGCATGGTACTGGATTTATATTAACGAGGCGGCAGTTAGCAGCTAGCGGCTAGCTAGTAAATTATACTAAGTTACACATCAATCGTTATGTACTTTTATATTACGCTGACATCAGGATCTTATGATATCCAAGCAACAGAGCTTCATTTAGCATGATACTTGTGTGGGTTGTACATGAAACCACTTGGTAATATATAAAAATGTATATGTTGAAGCCTGTTATGATCAATTGTGAGTTTAATCTTATCTAAAAAGTAAAGCTGATGATGGATTACTGTGGTGGAGTTAAAATAACAATAGCCTATTTCTTTTTGAAATGTGATGGAGTAAAAGGATAGTAACTGTGATTATTCATGTTAAGTAGCCCACAAGTAACTAAAACAATTGCAAGTGCAATAAGAAGCTACAGGAACGTTAATCTACGTCGGTAATATTAACTTTATTTAATACAACATTTACGGTACAAGATTTACATCATACAGCCCATGTAGTATAATATTTTACAAATGATGAATTACAGCAAACATGTGCAATATATCCATTATTACAGCTCCGTGGGCTGGCAGTAAGGCGATATGGTCCGTTGTTATTGTGCATCCATGGGTAAAGAGAAACTCATGTAGTACTGAACATGTAACATGAACGTGCCGGGCGGCGCGGTCCCGTGGGTTAGATGCGCGTTCATAATGCCGAGGGAAATAACTCTCAGAATAACGTTATTAGCACATTTTTACAACTTGAGGAACGAATGTTTTTAATAAGGGCTATACAAACGTTCATACTGGTTAGTTTATTTAGTTTAAAAAAAATTATCCAACGAATTACAGACCACTCTTTCCCCATGTAAGTCAATGGGAAAAAGTGTTTCCGGGCCCAGCAACCTAAAGGAAGTGTAGTACCGCCGTTTGACCAGCACGAATATTCTCATCAGACTCCGGCGCACTTCCTGGGGGCTTGGCTTG